AAAAAAAGCGGGGGGGTTGGGGGGGGCGCAGCCCCCCCCATTTGCAAACACAATGCTTGCATGATGGGTTTCAAAAAAAAGTTTCATATGCTTTGAAGCAAGCTTGCACGGCTTAAATAAAGCGGGGGGGTTGGGGGGGGCGCAGCCCCCCCCATTTGCAAACACAATGCCTGCATGATGGGTTTCAAAAAGAAGTTTCATATGATTTGAAGCAAGCTTGCACGGCTTAAAAAAAGCGGGGGGGTTGGGGGGGGCGCAGCCCCCCCCATTTGCAAACACAATGCGTGCATGATGGGTTTCAAACTCGAACTCGAACTCGATTCCGCAGCGGTCTGGTCTGACCTACTAGCTAGCTGTAGTTCATGACATATGTCACGGCCGCTCTGTGGCGGCGGCTAACAGCTTCGGGTATGGACAGCAAGAGACGTTCCGCAGGAACCGGAGTTCAACTAGACTGCAGGCAAAACGGTCTCAAGCGCAACAGAGCCTACCTGGACCTACCGTGAACAGGAAAGAAACGCGTGCTCACAAAAACTCAAAAGGACGGTGTATGTACAAGGGATACTATTCTACGGCCGGTCTCACAGTTCGCTCACTCACAGGGCTAAACAGTGTGGGCACACTTGTGCCGCAGATGTCCTGGGGCCGACGAGGGAGCGGCACCCCCGTGCTGATGGAGCAATGCATGACTGCATATGGTGGCATGGTTGAAAAAAGGACTCGGTACACTAAAGAAGAAGAGCACAAAAACACGCAGGGAGAGTGTAGCTATCTCATTTTCTCATCGCTCAAGACTCCTTAGCAGGGCGACCCGGGCATGCAGTGCCGGTATCATGGCACTGTGGCCGAAAGGTCGGCTTCACATGTGCCTTCCCTGTACATAGGAACAGAGACAAAGGTTCAGACAGGTTTGCAAGCCTGTCCCCCCGTGCACCCTAGATGGGGGTGCGCCCCCACTTTTGTGAGAAAAAATAAGCTCTCATCGTCAGGCCGATCCGCCTTCCCCAGCAGGGGGCCTGCGGATGCAGCCAAGCACATAACAGTTGGACTGTATTTCGGGGCTTAAGGTTTCAAGCCTTTCCGATGCGACACCGTCGTCCATGTACCAGGCATCTGTCCTGCCCGGTATCAAGCCAACGGTTCTGTAGTGCCCTGTGAGAACTGTTTCACCCAGATGCACAATGATGGAAATGAGGTCATAGGCAAGCCAATCACACGCTATGCTGCTTTCATTTCTGAAGATCGGCAGGTGGACACAGCGATTGTGGAATGTAAGAGGCACACGGGTCTTCCTCGTGACACCATTGGTCGTGGTATATCTAGGTAGAACAAGGAAAATGTGAGTCGGAGCTGTGCATAGCGCATGCGGTTGGGCCTGCAGGTGCCAGCTAAGGATGAGGGTGTCCAGCTCCCCGTCTTGGATACCTCCAGGTGCTGCCAGAAGTAGCAATGGTGCAGCGGGCTCCCTGATTTCAGTAGTGCATCCCTCCTCAACCGCAACTCTCGCCTCCCAGTGAACGAGGCTATCAGTCCAAGCAAGCTTAGGGATGATGAACTGTATGAATTCACTCACGTCATGCTGTCTGTTGGGCTGCGCCCAGCCTAACATGTACATGCGGAGAAACATGGCTGCATCCCAGTGCGTTTTGGCGAGTGCCTTCTGCCAAGCATCAGGTACGCGGCTCCCCGGCCTGAGCTGTGCTTGCCACAGGGTGGCAGTTATGACGGAGTTGATGTAGCAAGTGTTGCCACTATTCTTAAGCTTGAGGCGAGAGACACTCGGCACACCAGCAGGTGGCCGTGCACTTCCTGCAGCGCTCAGATGTTTTCCAGGGCCTTTTGCAGTGCCATTGCCAGTCCGTGGCGTTGCTGGTTTGGCGGCTGCAGTTGCGCTCCCACCACATTCCACACCGCGCAGTTGGCCAACTGTCGCAGTTTCTGATGCAGGATGTTTGCTCTCGGATCTCGCATGGCTACTTCGATGAGGAACACTGCTTTGTCGCCTTCCTGGGGCTCTTGCTTGGGACGCCTTTGGGCGCAGAACCTGGTGACCAGATCCGGAAGACACAGCTCGGCGACCTGGTTGATGAGCTCCGTCGCCTCTTCCACCTTCAGGCTCTTGGCCGTCGCCGACGGCTCCACCTGTTTGGTGGCCGAGTTCCACTCCTGATACACGAAGCGCTTCTGCTGGTCGAGCCACTGATGCTTCATCGCATTCTCCACGGCCGTGGGATCTCCCACCATCAGTTGGACTCTTGCCACGACCTCTTTCAGCAGGAGGCCCAGCGCAACGATTCTCATCGGGGGGACGTTCTCTCCTTTCTTCTGTTTTTGTTGCCATTCCTGCCCCGCCTTGAAAAGCGGCAGCAATATGGTTCCTGGGCCTTGTTGCTGGAGGTGGAAAGTGAAGGATGTGTCCAGGCGTAGACGGTTCAGGGCGTCCTCCTGCTGCAACGACAGATTTGCCAGGAGCGTCACCACCGAGTTCAGGTTCTCGTCTGCAATTTGCCGCCGGCCTCCCCGCTGTCCTCGCCGGGCCGCTTTGGGTCGCTTGTTCGGTGCGTTCTCGGTCTCCCGGTCCATTTCTCTCGGCTGCTTCGAGGTCTCTCTCATGTTCGTCGCTAGCCCTGGTAGTAGGTTGCCGAAGACGCTCACCACTTCCGTCGTCATGTTCACAGTGTAGTCCTATCAGGGCACATTGGAAGATCACATTGCATTGGAAGTAATGTCTGGAGGGGGAGGACCTGTCACACCACGGGCAGGTGCCATTTCGGAGGAGTCGGGGCTTGACCTGTGCACATCGCTCCTCAAGTTTGCCGTTGGCGGTGACTGCCCACACGTCCTTGTGGGCCCTAACTATGTGTCGCTTCAGAGCCGTGGGATCGGCGATCCATCGCTTGCAAACACAGCAGTGTTGCTTGAGGGACGACACAACATCGGCATCTAGCAGACTTTTCCAGCCTTGTTGACGAGCAACATCAAGAACCAGCTTTTGGGCTATGGGAGGCGGCTCATTTGCAGTGGCCTCCTCTGGAGCTTTTGGATTGGTGCTAGTATCTGCTTCGGGGCCGACCACGGCTCTCTGAGTACTGCCTTCCGGATAAAGAACAGGGCAGTATCCTTTTTCAATATGTGCTTTAAGCCCAATCCATGCCCCGTATTTGAATTTACAGAAGGCACACTGGGGCAGACCGTTCAGTGCGTGGTTTGCCGGATCAAAATTGAGCAGTTCTGGCTTATCTTCTGGGTGCTTCCATGCCTTATGCTGTCGGAGGCTAGTGATAGTGCGAAATTTTGCTGACTGCAATGCGGACAGGTATAAGGGTCTGACTCCTTATCTTCAGGAAGCTGCTCACCTGCACTCATCGAATGGAGTGAGTTGATAGCCAGCGCGAGCTGCGCCCGGACCTGTGGAAGGGCCCTAATGTCGCTGGGGCACTCTGCTGCAACTGTCTCAAGTGCGTCATGCATTCTCTGGCCTTGGTGAGCGAGCGCCTGCAGGGGGTCCTCAGCATTGAGATGCTTCTGGATCTGCTCGTTGGTCACTAGGGTAAGATGCGCCGGCTTTTTGGCAATAGCCCGCATCTGTCTGGCAGCCATTGCACGAAGATGCTTGCGTCCTGTGGGTCTAACGCCCACCGCCAGTAGCCCGTGCGCTGCTGAGCTCCACACCCCGGCTCTCCAGATTTGGTACCTGGGACGGTTGTGCGTTACGCGTCTGGAGTTGATGGCTTTACGAAGCTGGCTATATTGACCCCTCGCCTTACGCATACGTAGCTGAACAGTTTTCTCCTGGGCATCTCTATAGGAAATGACGGTACCTAGGTACTGATGTGTTTTCCTGAGGGGGATCAGAATCTGCTCGCCGTGTTGCATGAAGGCAAGGTGTGGGAGTTTGTCCTTGAAGACTTTAAGTTTCTGCAAAATCCTAATGGCATCTGCTCCCTTGGCGTGACACAGCACGACCGATTTGGTTGCGCTGAGAGTCATACCGTGGTCGTTAAAGGTTTGCACGACTTTTTGGATGCCGCTAATGGCACCCTGAAGGTCTTCGGCGCTTTTTAACGTCCATGCAGCTAAGGCGTCGTCGGCGTAAAAAGTGAACAATTGCGTTACCCAGTCCCAGCCTAGGCGCTCCGCTAGTGTGTCAATGATAGCAATTGTGTGCGCCACAAACAAATACGGCGCGACCGTACAGCCTTGTTTGATGCCTCGTGTGGTCGTGACGTGGTCCTCATGAACGCCAACTGAGCAGTGATACCTTGCCTCAAAATGGAACTGCATAAGGAGTTGCACCAG